CTGCGGGGGCCGCGACGGAGGAGGGAGGAGGGCGGGGGGAGGAAAGACTCATTTCGCATCAGCCCGAGCGGAAGCCTCCCAGATGAGGTCCGGGTGGGTGGGGTCGGCAGACCGCGTCGCATCGTCGATGCATCGCTGGTGGATCGGCGGAGCATCCGCGACGTCAACGATGTATCGGTGCTGTTGGAATGAAGGACCTCGGGCTCCATATCGAGCCGCATCGCCGATGCAGCCGCGATGCGGCGCGATCCTCCGATCTCGACCAGACCCCCCCCCCCCCGCGTCGCGAACGAAAGTCACGGCGGAAGGTTCTTGGCAATTCTCGGCCACTGGGAGCCCTTGCCTGGTCCCGGGGTCGGGAGCGTCCAAGACGGGGGCGTGCACGAGGGGGGTTCGCAAAGCAAGGCCCGAGACGTGTGTGCGGCCCAGGGGGGGACGGGGGGACGCATTGAAATGAGAACAGGGAGCCATGAAATCCGAGGAGATATCCTGGCCCTGGCGATGGTGTCCACCCTCTAGTCATCACCCCCCCCTTGGCCGCCCCCGACGGGGCCGTTAAAAAAAACGTTCAGGATGAAAGGCTGGTCCCGGGGAAGAGGTCCAGACCTACTCGGACCACATCTGGGAGGCCCAGACAGAGGCGCAGGCGCTGTGGGCCTCTCGAAACTCGGCGATCGAAATTCGGCCCTTCCTCCTCCTCTTCCTCCTCCTCCTCCTCCCTCCTCCCTCCTCCCTCCTCCCTCCTCCCTCCTCCCTCCTCCCTCCTCCCTCCTCCCTCCTCCCTCCTCCTCCCTCCTCCCTCCTCCCTCCTCCCCTCCTCCTCCTCCCTCCCTCCCTCCTCCCTCCTCCTCTCCCTCTCCCTCCCTCCTCCCCTCTCCCTCCTCCTCCTCTCTCCTCCTCCTCCTTCTCTCCTCCTCCTCTCCTCCTCCTCCTCCTCCTCCCTCCTCCTCTCCTCCTCTCCCTCCCCCTCCCTCCTCCCTCCCCTCCCTCCTCCCTCTTCCTCCCTCCTCGCCTCCCTGCCTCCTCCCTCCCTCCCTCCCTCCTCCGTCCTCCGTCCTCCGTCCTCCGTCGCCCTCCTCCCTCCTCCTCCTCCCTCCTCCTCCTCCTCCCTCCTCCTCCTCCTCCTCCCTCCTCTCCTCCTCCTCCTCCTCCTCCTCCTCCTCCTACTCCTCTCCTCCTCCTCCCCTCATCCTAATCTCCCCTCCTCCTCCCTCCTCCTCCCCTCCTCCTCCTCCCTCTCCTCTCCTCCCCCCTCCTCCTCTCCTCCTCCTCTCTCCTCCTCCTCCTCCTCCTCCCCTCCTCCTCCTCCTCCTCCTCCTCCTCCTCCTCCTCCTCCTCCTCCTCCCTCTCCTCCTCTTCTTCCTCTTCTCCTCCTCTCCTCCCTCCTCCTCCCTCCTCCTCCTCTCCTCCTCCTCCTCCTCCTCCTCCTCCTCCTCCTCCTCCTCCTCCTCCTCCTCCTCCTCCTCCTCCTCCTCCTCCTCCTCGGTTGTAGACGAAGAAAAAAAACACATATAAACGTAAACTTTTGGCGCTCCGCGCGGATTTCTTGGATCCGCGCCTGGCCCCTTCCGGCGCGCTCCGCGCGCCAGGTAGGGGGGTCCAGCGAGGATCCAAGAAATCCGCGCGGAGCGCCAAAAGTGTATGTTTATGTGTTTTTTCTCCTTCTACGACAGCCACCCAGGAATGAATGTTCAAGAGAAAGCTCCTGCCTTCGAGCTCAGCCAGGAGTTTGACGTTTGGACACCACGTGGTTGGAGGAGTGGACGTGGGAGGCGCTCGATGAATACACCACGTCGCTTGGTCGGCCAAGGAGCTCGGTGCATAGACGCCCCACCTGCCCAACATGCGGGACGTGGGCGCGTTTGTACGCCGAATTCCTTCGCCGAGTCTATTGGCTCTTTGGCCGCCCAAACGACGTGGTGTATGCCGATAGGACCACCCTACGGGTGATCAGGAGGTTTGGGGGGAAGGGGGAAGAGGTCGATTTGCGATGGCTCTCGGGGTTCTTTGGTTGTTTCTTCAGCTTTCCTATTGTCGCGCACATACGCCCACCTATCTTTCGACCGATCTATCTAATCAAGTGTTTATTTAGGAGAACCATCTATCATGGGGGTCCCCAGACTATCCAAGACGGCCCTCGGGCGGCCCAGGCTGCTCCGCTGACGGCCACCACGGCTCCAAGAGGGCCCTAGGGGATCCCAGAGAGGGCCCCAGGGGACCCCCGAGAGAGCCCATCCAGCAAAAATCGCCACATTCCCTTCGGAAAACTAACGTTTTCAGCAAACTCACCTTTTGAGTCGTCCCCGCGTCCACGACAGCCCCGGAGGCCTCGAAAATCGCCCCTCGACCGCCCAAGAAGCTCCCAAGAAGGCCCCCAGATGGATCATGACGGCCCCGGAACGGTCCACGAGGCTCCCAAGACGGCCCAAGAGGACCCTAAGAGGGGCCCCAGAGGGGCTCAATAATGCCCAAGATGGACCCAAGACGGCCCAAAAGGCGTCCAAAATGGCCCAAGACGGCCCAAAGACGGCCCGACAAGCGTCCTACAAGGAGTTCCAAAAGGGTTTCCTACAGGGCAGCCCACGGCAGGGGATCGCGAGATCTACGGAGGTCACTGACCGCGTCGCACACCCCAGAACGCACCGCCAAAGTTCTATCCCCTCACCTCTGTGGATTTAATCCACGGGTCACACTAGTATATATATATATAATTATATATATATATATATATATATATATATATATACATGTATATATATTATAGATGTGTGCGTATGTCGATATATCGTTCTATCTATAGATGCATCTATCAGTCTCCCAGCAAGCAGCAAGCACTCAATCAATCAATATGTCAAGCAGACAATATGTGATATTCGATGTACAAATAGTATAGATACCGATGTATATGCATTGGTCGGTCGATCTAAATATGTATATGTATGTCGCTCCATCTATACATATACACACATATATATATATATGTATATATGTGTATGCGAATACGTGCCTATGTCTCTAAATATAGACGTATCGATCTATATATCTATATAACTATCCATACATCTATATACACATATCTATATATGTATATATATGTGTATATATATATCGATCGGTACGGGACAAGCATCGGGGACAAGCATCGGGGACAAGCATCGGCACAACCATCGGGACCACCATCGGGACAACCATCGGTACAATCATCGGGACAACCATCGGGGCAACCATCGGGACAACCATCGGGACAACCACAACCATCGGGACAACCGCCGGGACAACCGCCGGGACAACCAGGGGGGCCACGCCTGGCGCTCGGGTTGCGGCCCGTTTGGCAATAGATGCCATCTACTATGGATGGAACACGCGCAGCTTCGCCTCGCCCGCACACACGACACGAACCGAAACCGAAACCGATTTTCCGGTTGCGGTCACTGCCGTTCTACCCCCCCAACCTCCGACATCGAGCCCCTCTGAAGTGAGGGAGGCAACGACGGCAACGGCAACGGCGGCAACGACTGCGCAGCTGCCGACGACCCCTGGACCGGTCCTAGGGCGCGTTGAGGAGGAGGAGGAGGAGGAGGAGGAGGAGGAGGAGGAGTGAGGAAGAGTGAGAATGAAGAGGAGAAGGGAGGAGGAAGAGGAGGAGGAGGAGGAGGAGGAGGAGAGGGTGAAGTAGGAGAAAGACGAGGGAAGGGAAACGAGAAGAGGGGGAGGGAGGGGGAGGAAGAAGGGGGAGGGAAGGGGGGGGAGGGGGAGGACGAGGAGTGGGAGGGCGAGGACGAAAAGTGGGCAGAGGAGGAGGTGTAGGAGGTGGAAGTGGAGGAAGTGGAGGAGGTGGAGATGGAGGAAGGGAGGAGGGGGAGGCAGGGGGTGGGAGGTGCAAGGAGGACATAGGGAGGTATGGGGGGTTCAAACGCGTTCGAGGAGCTTTTAGGGAGATGGGCAAGCAAGAACCACAACGCTCGCTTCGCACGCGCTCGGGTTCGAGGAGCTTGTGGCCTGGCGCTGGGGGCTCACAAGCAGCTGCAGCAGCATCAGCAGCGTCATTCGGCATCAGCTGAAGTACTAACAGCATCATCATCAGCCAAAGCATCAGACTCACCAGCAGCAGCGGAAGCATCAGCATCCACATCAGCATCAGCATCAGCATTGACCATTGTTCGCATCAGCATCAGCGTCAGCATCAGCATGAGTATCGGGATAGGCGTTAGCATCAAAACCAGCGTCGGCATCAGCAAATCCACATCTGCCTCCGCATCAGCAACAGCATCAGAATCCACATCTGGATCAGAATCGTGGAGCCAGGGGCCCAACAGAGGCCTCCAGAGACAGGGCGAGGAAGGCTGAGGAGGAATGAGGCTCGAGGATGAGCCTTGTTGCGCGACTTCATCACGATTCACCTCGGGGCGGTTGGGCCCTGGAGATGGGGGATCAACATTAGCCTGGCGAAGGACCCAACCATATGCAGTTGTGAATGCCGCAATTGTGCTGGGTGGTGGCGGACGCATGCGGGCGGTGCCACTGGGACCTTCGGTGGAGCTCCCTATGGGGCCACGAAACGCTGTACTGGGTGGGTGAGACGCGGTCAGCAAGGGCTGTGCTGCGTGGTGGCGGACGCATGCGAGCGGTGCCACTGGGACCTTCGGTGGAGCTCCCTATGGGGCCACGAAACGCTGTACTGGGTGGGTGAAACGCAGGCAGGGAGCAAGGGCTGTGCAGGGTGGTGGCGGACGCATGCGGGCGGTGCCGCTGGGACCTTTGGTGGAGCTCCCTATAGGGCTACGAAGCGCTGTTCTGGGTGGGTGAAGCGCAGGGAACAAGGGCTGTGCTGGGTGGTGGCGGACGCAAGCGGGCAGTGCCACTGGGACCTTTGGTGGAGCCCCCTATGGGGCCACGAAACGTGCGAGGGGTGTGCCAGAATGGGGTGTGGAACCGCATGCCAGCGCAGCCACTGGGGCCTTCGGTGGAGCTCCCTATGGAGCCACGAAGCGTGTGAGGGG